AGATGTGGTGTGTGAAAAGTGTGTACCTTTGAATGTGAGTAACAAAAGGGGTGAAACAAACGTGGAGAAGGAAAGATGCTGTGGAAGTGCCTGGTGGTCTTGGAGAGTATTGAAGTACATGAGTTTGTCGCTTCTCGAATTCTTCCTGCAGCATGATGTAGTGTGTGCATGTTATTTTATGTGCACACGCTAACAGTAGATGCTTCTGGAACCTGAAACAGTCACCTGGGCCTTAGGAGACAGGGCAGACCTGAAACTGAATGCAGATCCCATGTGAGTGCAGAGCGAGGGAGCTGAAACGTGTGGCTTTAGGGACTTGAGAAAGAAACATCCCCTAAGCCACTACCTCCAGAATAGGTGTTTAATTCTAGGATCTGAGTTGGCATAACTTGAACTTGAGTGATGGAAATCCAAGATTAGTAACAAATATCAGCAGGATTAGCAAGGTCACTCTTAATATTTGGGGGGGAGGAGGTGACAGGATCTTAAAATAAGTAATTTGGGGAACATTTTTTTCAATGTACAGACTCATTCCCCTTGTGTTCGCTTTTAATTCAGAGGACAGACTTAAACATTAGCTGGAGAATAAAAGTGATATTTTGAGGTAGTGATGACAGTGGGATAAGGAAAGTTTTCTCTGCATGATTTGCATGCTAAACCTGATTTTTTTTCCTTTGAAAATCTTTACCTCAGATTCATAAGGATCTCATAAGTAGTTCTTAGTAAAACTGCTGCTTAACTGAAAAAAAGCATCTGATTTGTTTTATTATAGTATAATTAATACTGCGCTTCCCTTCTGAACCTTTAATATGAGTAACTCAGTATGCTGCTGTTGTGATGACTTTTTTTAATCTTAACCATGAAAGATACCCTAAAGGATGGGCATGTTGTTCTTCCATACCGTTGTGAACCTTTGGCCTAGTTACATTTCGGAGCAAGGCTGCTATTGATCACGTGAAATTGTAATGGCAACTTTTCTAATTTCCCTCGGTTAAAGCACGTTAGAAAAATAAATGAATTCCAGAGCCAGGAAACCAGATGGTCAGCAAACATCTCATTCATGTGTTTCTGACATTTATTAAAACACTTGCTCTCCATTCTGAGAACGATGCAGAGAGCCATGTTAAATGGCAAGCCACAAAGAGCCATGTGTGCAAACAGTGCAGTATTGCAAACAGTACAGTATTTAAAGATGTAAATGATACTTAAAGAAAAATCATGCTTGGAACGGTCTTGAATATAGCCCAGTGTATTTAGGTGCTACAGCCCAGACGGCAGTTGCCTGACAGTCCTTTACTACCATACCAACAGGGTGGACTAATGATAGTTTTGGATTTAACTTGGAATTTGAAATGCAAGTCAAGGGAGTGCAGAAATTTTGAGTATAACAAAACAGAAAAATCCATAACTTTGCATTTTTTTTTCTTACTGAAAGTCTCCTTCATTTCATTTAGTGAGAATGTTTTTGAGATTAGGTTCAGAGAGCTTTCATAGAAATGATGACATTCCAAAAATAACAGCTGTATTTGGAAATAGTTACCAAGTGCCACTGGTGTTCAGACACTTCAGTAGACACTTAGAGTAGAAATAAGTGTCAGATATTTTCTTACAGTTGCTCACTATTGGTCTCCTCCATCTTAGTAGTCAGCAAAGAACCAGAAAAGGTAGAAAGTGGCTTTCAAAATCCTATAGTTTAAGTAGCTAACTAGGTGACCCTGCTGAGGAGTGTCGCATGGTTGCAGTGTAGATAATGATTTGTAGTGCTCTGCTTTTGAAGAAGTCCCATTACAGTTTGCTCATAAAACCCAGGTGTCTATCACAGATGTTCTGTCAGAGCACAAGAAGGTTCTGACTTCTCCCCACACTGCACCACTGCCGGGAGTAGAGGGAGTCTACTCACTTGCCTACTCACTTGCAGTATATTCAGGTCTAACCTACAGTGGAAGAGACTGAAGACACAGGATCTTAACCCCTTCCTTCTGCTCAAACATTGCTCTTGGATTCATAGTAGATCTTTCCATAGGAGATGTCCTTCAGATGGTAGACTAGCTAGTGGGCTTCAAGGGCATGACATTCAGGAGGTTGCAAAAAATACCTTTAACAGAGCAGGAACACACGTGCTTTGTTTTCTTTACAGCATGGTGTCTTCTCCATGGTGTGGGCGGCCCGCGGGTGCCGGCATGCTTGGCTGTGGCGTGGGGTGCTGGCAGGAGACTCTCTATTGTTGCCTGTCAGGAGAGAGGAGGCCAACGAGAGGTAGTTTTAGGGAAGGGGACAGTAAACTGTGTGGCATTTCATGGAAGGCATCCCAAAATTTTGGAAGGTTCCGTATAAAAATACCCCATGTCATGTTGTGTATGCAGTTCTGATTCTAATTTCAGCACAGATTCATGTAGGGATTGATGTTTAACTGGTCTAAGATGCCAGATTGTGCTGCATTCAACCTGGGATGTGTGCCAGAAAAAGCAGTGCTAGCCACAGGAACCCAACAGTTTGGTGTTTGAGATATCTGAAGCCACTGGGCCCTGACAGGACTGCTGTGGATCACTGAGGAGCTGGAATGTGGTGGGATATAAAGCATTCCTTTCTAGCCCTGCCCTACTGTGAGCTATTAAACCTTGAACGTGCCCGTTATTATCTTAATGAGTGTCTTCCCTTTCCTCCTGTGAACTGGCTTTTGGCTTTTTAGCAGCCAAAGTACGTGGAACTGCTGGAGCTAGTGGAATTCTTCAAGCCAGTGGGTGTTTTTCTTTTTTTTTTTTTTTTTTGCATTTGAGTTGTTACTTCAGAAAGGATTGCAAAGATTATTATTATAGGATTACTTTTATACTTTATTCTTATATATCGTCTAACTTCTCGCTGCTTCCCTTGAAGCTCTGAACTGCAAGCTGAGATGTTTAACGGAGCTTAATTGTTTCAGATCATGACAGGATGTTGGCGAGGGAGCGAGAGGGAAGCAGAGAAGCTTTTGGCAGCTGATGAAACAAAATCTGTGCTGGAGTTGAGGGCTTCTTACTTCAACCACTTGGTGACATTGTAGATGGTGTCAGCTCTGCACTTCCCTTAAGTGCCAGCTGGATAGAGAGGATCTAAAAATCCTGAGAAGGACAACCACATCTGTAGGTGCCCTTGGAGCCCATTAAAAATTGCCTTTTTTTTTTTTTAATTTCTGACTGTTATAAAATGGTACGGTGGCCTCACTAAAATGCCCGGTTACCTTGCTAAAATGCTGTTAGAGCTACTGATAAATCAGCAGACATTTTTTAGGACCTTTAATTTCAAAGATGGTTTGTGGGGAGCTGCAGTTAACTGGGAAAGTTCTTTTTCATTTTCAAAAACAAAAAAAAAGTTTTTTCTTAATTTACAGTAAGTAGTTGTTTTCTACCCTCTGACTTGCTGAATTCTGCTGTAGCGTGCCAGTGTAAGCCTTGCTCACAGCACAAAGGGTAACATAAAGTACAGAGGAAACAGGAGTCCAT